CAGAGCGCCGGGGGGAGGGCAGCGAGTCCCGGTCGGGGCTCCTCTCTCCCCGGCGGCCAGATCGCCGGTGGGAGGGCGGCGAGTCCCGGCCGTGGCCTCGCTCTCCCCGGAGCTGGAGATCCGCACCGCCCCCCTCCAGGTGCGCCCCAAGCACAAGCTTGGTGGGCTGGTCCCTGGAGCCGGCCCTGAAAGGGAGGGTTGCAGCCTTAAACCCAATCCCAGTGTGTCCTGAGGATCCAGTAGTCAAGGCCCTGCTTGTGTAGCTTCACTAGGTAGATTAGGGGAAAGGAAGTCTCTTTGTGGACCTGGGCCCTAGTCCCCATCTCATTTGGTGCATATTGCCACACCCAAACCAACACATTAAATAATAATAGCAGTGTCCAAATTGTTGTTAGAGAGAATCTGGTGGTCTGAAACAGTGTGTGTATGAGGGGTGGAGGGAGTGTGAGGGAGATTGGTTTATGTAAGAAAAAGTTGAAAACATACCAGCACCCAAAAAAAAGGTAGGTTACATGATGAGATGCGGCATTCGCTTCTCTGCAAGACAGACAGTGCAGTTTTTAGGCAGACCACAACCCTTGCTCAGGTTTCTAATAATGGAGTTCAGTAAAGCCCACATGTGGGTATGGTGAACTACATCTATCTGTGTGTACATTCTATGAACATTTTCTGTGAGTATTTTAATATTCTACTGCCAGAGGCAGGAAAATCTTTAAAAAAAAAAAATAATAATGGAGATATCCTATCTCCTAGAACTGGAAGGGACGTTGAAAGGTCATTGAGTCGAGCCCCCTGCCTTCACTAGCAGGACCAAGTACTGATTTTGCCCCAGATCCCTAAGTGGCCCCCTCAAGGATTGAACTCACAACCCTGGGTTTAGCAGGCCAATGCTCAAACCACTGAGCTATCCCATATAAAGAGTATGGGCCTCTTTTAATTCAATGTCTGTTATTTAATTCAATGTCTGTTATTTCTTATTCTGATTTCAGAATGGAGAAAGGCTCGTAATGAGACAGGTAACAGAATACACATTTCTTCCAGTATTAAGAAATCATTGTATCAATGCATTAACCAAACTAGAAACATATAATAAAATATTGTTATGCTGAGAACAAACCTTGAGATCCATACTCAGTTTATACACAGTCTTTACTTAGGCAAAACTCCCATTTATATCAGGACCTGATTCTGACCTTGTACTAATTTCACACCAGTGTAACTTCATGGATCTATGTGAAGTCACTCTTAATTTGCACAGATGTGAGATCAGAATTAACCCTCACAGAGAGATGTGGGTATGGACTGAGGAAATCCTAAATCAGGGCCTCAGGATTTGGAGCAGGGTAAAAGCACAGATGAGGTGGTGATGGTGACTCCATTAATCATACTAAGATGAGTAATGCTGACAGGGGTTATGAAGGTGGGTAGTTGTGACCAGGAGTGAAATATGTGTTATTGTGATGGCATTGATACTGATGAAGACAGTGGTGAAAAGTTAGTAGTGGTGCTGACTTATGATTGATGGTGATGTTGGAAAAAAAGAATATGATACTGAGTGATGTTCATTAAGGGGATGATGAAAGACAGGTGCAATCATGGTGATTTATGGCAGATATGGATATGAGAATGTGACAGTAATTTGCATTTTTTTGCAATTTTCTTCTGATCTCAAAGCTCTTTCCAGCCTGATCTATCCCTCATTGAGTTTGGAAGTATGCACAGTTTACAGAAAATGATTAAATTATCCGAATAAGCTCATTGAACGGATCAGTGTCAGAGAGGAGAATGAGTCCTAATTCTCAATACCCACCTCTAACTAACCGACAAAACATTATTTTCATTACTAAAATAGTCCATTATAACACTGTGAATACAACTGTGAATGCAATGGGGAAGTATAGTGATCCAACGTAACAGGTGCAGTAATTTTCTTCTCTATAGTCTGATTGTCTGTTCAAAGATTGTTTCTTTTTTCCCCAAGATCCAAGTTCAGCACAGTATTTAAGCAAGTACTAAACTTTAAGCACATATAAGGGTTTCACCTCATCTAAGCACATCTACTGGATCAGACTCCAAAGGCAAACTAGGCAGGGCTGCACCTAGTTTATGAATCCTGCTAGAGCTTCGGCATGTGTTAAGTGCCAAGCTGCTGGGCAATGTCAGGAGTCAGGTGGCTGAGTGCAGGCTCAGCTGCCAAAGTTTAGGCACCTTGGGGACTTTAATGGTGGACACTTAGGTGCTTAGGGAATTTATGTGCCTGCAAGGTTAGGCAGAAGCTGAATAAGGGTTTTGTGAATTCCAGGGTTATTAAATGTTGGATGAATGTGGCTATATCCCCCTTGAGAATGCCACCAAATAGTTCAGAATCACTTTCAATTTTGTGTGAAATTCAGACAACTCTCACATATCTGAAGAATTTCAATAAACAAAAACATTGTCAAGCAGGCTTCAATCAGGCAAAACTCCTACCTGAGAAGGGTGTACAGGATGGGGCCCACCCTCTAAACTTCCCTTATCCCAGCTGAGACTGACATTATGTCACCAAAATATCGGGTCCACCTAGCTGAGAGCCAATAACAGCCAGACAGGGATAAGGAAGAGTTGCTTTATTCTGCAGAAGAAAGGAGAGCCTTGCACCTTGGTACAAAGACTCTGTCTTACACACATTTTACAGATCCTTTATACACATTTAGACAAAGGCCCTTGCCGTGTTAACACTTGATTGGTGGTTGTCAGACCCATGCTTTTGCTATCTGGTCAGTGAAAACCAGCTTAGGACCAGCTCTAACTACCTTAAGGCCTTGAAAGGGAAGACAGTTGAAAAGTTCAGGCTACTGTGTACTTGTAGGGTTACCATTCGTCCGGATTTACCCGGACATGTCCTCCTTTTGTGTGCTAAAA